AGGTGCATCGCTACTAGGAACAAGGTGCATCGCTACTAGTAACAAGGTGCATCGCTACTAGGAACAAGGTGCATCTCTACTGGTAGCTAGAAGCTACTAGTAACAACAAGAAGTATACTTCCTAACATCTTCGAAATTGCTCAAGTCTGGCATGCTGAACAGGGGTGAGGACTTGACTTTGACTCACCTGAATTTGCTTTGGTTAAAACACGTGGCGCTGCTGCAGTCTTCTGTGCCAACAAGGCAGCGATCGCCAACAACCACGCCATTGCAGGAATTGCTATGCGATGGCAGAGGAGTGAGTCAGGTGTCGCCGGGTGTTTGCTTTCGGGATGTGAAGGGATGCCAGACCAAGAAAACTGTTTGGTCCAGAATGTTCCAGAGCTAAAAAAGGGTAGTCTTTTGATGTCTTGAAAGTCCATGCTCAGACTTACTGTATTTACATGTGTGATGTAAATAAACATATTTTTAGGATTCTTAGGACATGAAGAAGAGACTCCGGGACCTATTCCGAATTCCACCATCTCAATACACGACCAGTCCTCATCAAAGGCCCTATGACACAGCTTCACGAGTTTCGCCACGGACACGGGCGAACGGGCGAGCTCGATGGTATCGATCCTGCAGTCGTTTGGATGTCCCACCAGTGAAGGAGGCGCATGAACAATGCGACACACCAAGAGCTCCCTGTCGAACCAGACCCCACCGTCTGAGCGACCCTTCCTGTATAAGCCACACGGTCTTCGAAGCTCTAACCGACGCCTTCCACGTCGCGGTGGCCACACGTTCCGGTCGAGCCAGGCAACTCCCAGCTTGCAAGATGCATCGGACTCTTCATGCTGCTCGGAGAGAAAACGAACGGGCGCTGCGGATGGGCGCAGCGATTGTGAAGTGCTGCGATTGTGTTTATGGTGATTTGGTGATTAGCTGCCAGGAGCACAGCAGCTGCAGCTGCAGCTTGGCACGTGCTTTGGGAACTGATTCGTAATTACTTATATGTTTATACCTTATTACAATTTCCTGTATACTACAGTAATGCTCTTAGACCACAGGCCTGGGAGGTTTGAGGAGCGTCGTTGCTATTGAAGTATACGTTGAGTGGGGTTGGTTCCTTGGGCTCTTCAAAAGAAGGTTATATAAAAGACATTTATGTTGACAGCTTGCAACACTGCCATGCTTAAGAGATGGCGCATGGTATGTATTTTGTGCCTTGTATGGTACCGTGGCTAAGCTACGCAAGACCAGAGGGAGGGCGAACGTCCCCTTGTGAGTTTTATGATGTTTTATTCGATTTCGTGTAGTTTTTGTCCAAAACATGTTGCTGTGCAAGGCAAGACAGCTCCAAACCGTTTCCCCTTCTCCGCGGAAAACGCCCCGTCTTCCGCTCCTTTGGAGGCTTCAGCAAGTGGCCGCCGCTCCCAGCTGCGAAGCCTTTCAACAGAGCCCGCTCTTGGCCATGGTCCTGGACCGGGTGAGAGGGTCGGTCATGGGATGGTCCGAAGGATGGTCCGATGGATGGTCCGTTCAGAACTTCGGTCCGGATGGATGGATAAGAGATGAAGGATGTGGTTTGAGCGTCCTCTTAGATCTCTATTCGCTTGTTGTGGTGTGGGCGTGAAGATCATGAATTGCTTCGTTTTGGGTTAAATGGAGAAGAGAAGGATAGAGAAGGTAGGAGAACAGTGCTCTCCAGGAAAATGAGATGCTGAAGATCTTTGACCTGCCGATGATTCTGGGATATTTGGGGTCTATTCTAGCGGTCTTACCGTCTTGCCCGCGAGACACGGAGTAGCGGGTGAAGAACGTGTCCATCGTTTGAACTCGTGTAACTAGCGCAGAGATCGAACCAGGCGCACACAAGCTGTTTTTTTTGCGCCTCCGCGAAAAGCGAGGAGACTTTGCAAAGCAATTCCTTTGCCTTGTTGCTGCCGGAGGTCGTGACTCGGATGCAACTGGCTTGACCCCAGAGCGGCGGCCAGACATTCGAGGACCAAAAGGACCAATCATGCAAATCGCTAAATTAAGGCCTCGTGTTCAAGTCACACTGTAATCATCAAGCTCTTAGGTTGGAGGCCATCGCTACTAGGTTGGAGGCCATTTCTATTAGGTTCCTTTTGCTATTTGGTTTTAAATTTTCAATGGTTCAAAATGAAGGAAACGTGTTGCTTTGGCCTTGTGGTGCTCTGGCCGGCCAGCCGCTTCTCACTCTCCAAACCCGGTCCGGAAGTGAGACAAATCAGCATGTAGAGCAAGCAAAGATCCATGTGAGGTGGTTGACCATCCAATATTATATTAATATATATATATATAATAATGATCGATCATTATTAACAACATATAATATAATCTAACATCATATATAAACAACTGCATTCTTGGATATTCTTGGAAGACCCAACATGTGGATTGCTTTGTCCCTTCCCAAACCCATCCGTCCGAACTGCTGGCTGTTTTCACACCCCGTTCCGTTCCGTTTCCGCCAAGGCGGCGGTGGCCTCCTACCGGGCTTGGGACGTGCCGAAGCTTCGAGGGGTCGCGACAGGCGGGGGGGCAGAAAGCGTTTTCAAAGCAAGTCCTGACAAATGCTCACGTGACATACACTCCCGAGAACCAACATAGACCCTGACGTCCTGGCTCCGTGGAAGAGTGTTTTCATCTACCAACCAGTGGCTTTCAGGGTCCATGTTAGTCTTCCAGGGTGTAACAACTGCCCAGCCTGTCCATTCAACATTTGACTAACTGCCTGGGACACTTGGTTAGAAAGGACTGTTCCTTCCACGGTTCACCAACGGACATAACAACTGATCATAGGATCGACACGTCATGTCCATGCTTGTCGAGAGGTGAGCAGTTGAAGCATGACCCCATGATCGATGTCGCTGGGTTCCATAATTTGAATCACTAGGAGCAAGGACGTTACTAGGGGCCCCTGACCATACTACTAGGAGCAAGAAGCTACTAGGAGCAAGGGCATCGCTACTAGCAGCAAGGACGCTACTAGGGGCTCCTGGCCATACTACTAGGAGCAAGA